TATATATATATATATATATATATAATTTATTTTCATTCAATTATAATATTTTATTAAGCATAAAATATCTCTAAAACAAAAGATAACGACAAAGTAGGATGTGGTAGAAGAGGACTAATTGAAGGAAGGAAGAGTGTGGAAACGGATGGGACAAGCACACAAAACAAGGCAGGATTTGTGAGGAGCCTGCATCATTTTTTGTAAAGATTGATTGTAATTTCATTTTCGTTATATTAATATCATTTTAGATACTGTTGATGGCTTTATAATGTTTGGATTTATTTTGTTTGGACTGTTTTTTATTTACATATTTATATTTAACATTGACAGAGGCACCACATGATTCTTTATGTCTTTATATATTTAATATTTAATTTTTTATATATATATTTACATGCATGACACTTAAAATTTTTTAATACTAAATTAAAATTAATACGTTTTTTTCATAAATTTACGATGCCATAATATATAGAAATTGAGTGTTTTATATGTAAATACTTAAGTTTAGGTGTAATATATATAAATATGTATGTTTTGAGATCTATATATATATATAAGACCTCAATAATTTAATAATTATAAATCCAATGTCAATGATAAACCCTAAATGATTAAAATCTCTAATGACAGATGAGATGGTGGTCTGGTGATTGGACAGAACCTTAATAATTTAATAATTATAAACCCAAAGTCAATGATAAACCCTACATGATTAAAATCTCTAAAGACAGATGAGATGGTGGTCTGGTGGTTGGGCATTTTCTCCCGCATCAAAAGATCTCATGCTCCGACCAAAAAAAAAAAAAAGTTAATAAATTTACTATCGTTAGATGAGAAGAAGAAACATGGAGGAGGCAAAAATGAATATTCTTAGAGAGCTTTTAAAAGGATGAATGAATCAGATTTTCTATTTCTTAGAGAGCTTTTAAAAGGATGAATGAATCAGATTTTCTATTATTTACGATATATTTTATTTTTACAGAGGCTGAGCATCAACAGACTTTCTTAATAGCTTACATACATAATGCCGGTGGTTAGTATAAGAAAATTTAGGTGATTGCTTCATACATGTCGTTTCATCGAGTTTTTCACGTAGGAAAGAATTAGAGACACTGAGTTGCTGAATCTTCGATTATTTATCAACTGCTAGAGTAATAGTTATCCAAATAGTGCAAAATTTTGCAACAAGACTGAAAGTTTCATGATAATCTATGTTTTGTTGTTGATAAAATCTTGAGCAACAAATCTTGCTTTGTATCTGACTATAGCGTCATTAGCATGATATTTAGTTCTAAAAGTCTATTTATATCTTAAGATATCTTGATTTTCAAGGGGTGGATCAAGTTCCCATGTGCCTAGTTGTTGTAAAGCCATAAATTCTTCAGACATTGCTCGTCTTTAATGAGAATTTTGCACGGCTTGATTGTAAGTATGTGGCTCCAATTGAGAAGTAATATCATGGTGAAGATAGAAAATTGTGTTGGTTTTAAAGTGTTTGTTTGACCTCTAGTTACTATATGATGTTGTTTGGGTTGTTGAGTGATGTTGACATTTTGTGTGTGTGAATGTGATTGGTGATTCAGTGATTTTGGCGATGTGTTTGTTGGTGTGGGAGAAATCTCAAGAGAAGGATTGAAGTAGGGTGCGGTGGTGCTATGTGGTGAAGAAAATAAAGGATTAAGGGGTGCAATAATGTAAATTTAATGGGTTGGGGAGTTAGGATGGTTTGATATAAGTGTAGATGTAGGAATAAGAAGAGACGGTGGTGCTAAAATATTTTAAGTGGACTGATCAGAAGTGTGCTGCAGGGAAGAGTGTTTGTAAGGAAATTGCTTTTTGATAAATTTTACATGTATTGAGATGATAAATTTATTAGCCTGAATATCAAAGCACTAATATTCTTTGTGTTGTGGATTATAGCCACAAAGAATACATTGAGGATCTTTGGGAGAAAGCTCATAAGGGGTATTACAATGTTGTCATAGAAAAAAGATACAACCAAAGGTCCTAAGATGATGATATCTAAGTTTAATTTTATGTAATAGTTGGAAAGTCGATTTTCTTAATATTTATAGAAGAAAGTCTATTAATAAGATAAGTAGTCGTTTGAATGGCTTCTATCCGAAATTTTATTGGTAAATTTGATGTGTTAAGTAAAGTTCTTGCAGTTTCTAAGATGTGTTTATGTTTTCTTTCAACAATATTTTTTTTGTTCAGGTGTATATGGGCAACTGATCCCTACTACTGTTTAAATGCAACAATATAATAATGTCTTTGATGATATTTTTTATTTATGTTTCCTTACTTTGAAAGAGAACCAAAAGCTTGATCCTGAAGAAAATAAGAATTTAACTTTTTAATATATATATATATA